ATATATATATATATATATATATATCGCTGTTCCGTGTTCTTATGCTCTTGGATCTAACCGTTTGTCATTTTTCCTCATGCATTTTCGTTATCTAGTCACCAAGCTAAAACTTTTACTGGACAATTTATTCACTTCACCTATGATCCGTTTAATCTGTATTTATCTTTATTCCTTTTGATGTCGTCATGTGCAGTCTGATTTGAGGCGTCTACTAACGCATCCGGATGAGTCTGTTTGTTCCCGCGCGTTGCGTCTACTCCTGAGGCTTATGATGCAATTCCCACAATGCGCTACTACCTTGATCGAATCGGGCCTGCTTCCCTGCTTCTCTCCCAAATTATTCGACCAAGGTGGTTTGCGGGTCTCGGTCTTGGAAGCATTACCGTTACTATGCCTCCTGGCTCCTGTACTTGCTCCGAAGCTCTTAAATGCTTGTGCAGAAATGATCTTATTCGGTATGCCGGACTCATCCAGCTACGAGGTTTTATGCGCAGTCGAGGAGGCAGTTCGTCGTCTCACATTGGACGGATTGGATGCGGCTTGCGTGGAACATGCATCCTCTGCTCTGATCAGTCGAACCAATTTGATTCGGGGTGCGACAGCCAACTGAAGAGAACTTTTATTTTATTATTTTACCGATCCTGGTCACCAAACTGTTTTGTATATATACGACAACCTATCCACTGTTGCTCCCCTGGCAGATTAATGCGCTGCTCTAAATAAGTGCCTTTTCATCTGTATATAATCTCTTTCTATTTTATAGATCCGCAATTTAATTTGGGGCGTCATAATTTCAATTCTGAACTAAATTAACCCGGAGATGCAAGTTTGTTTGTTGAGTTTGAGAACTACTTCTGTGCACTATTTCACGGGTTCATAAAAAGAACGGGTTACTTTCAAACGTTGATTAACACCAAGCGCTGTTTTCGGTATTTTCTTGACGTGCACCCGAAATTAGTCAACCTAGGTTTAAAAGATGAAAGCAACGGGTTCAGGGAGCGGGGAAGCGACCAATCCAAGGGCTACCATACAATACACAGTGGGTATAGTCAGGCGGTGGTGGTGGGACTCGATCACATCCTCCGGGCTGATAATTTGGTGACGTTACGAACGGGCGACCACCGCCCGAACTCAGGCGATTAAATGGTTGCTTTAGTTTGTTTTCTGTAGATTTCGCTCTGCTTCTGCTCAAGTTAGATTAGAGTGCGCATATAATTACAATTTATAAGGGCTTAGTTCTGATACACTACCAATCTAGGCAAAAAATGCAAACTTTCAGTTTCATTTTCAACAACTAATAACCATGCACTTTCGTGCGTCGCTTTTGATTGCTGTCTTTGGGTTGCTCATTTGGACGCAGCAGTAGTGGAACGACAGGAGAGTTTGGGTAGGGTCGCAGATAAAACGAAGAATTTCAGAAGACAGAGGTTGCCGGGAAATTGAGAACATGCATGAACGCCACGGTTCACGACACTCAGCCATGTCACTCAGTGTTTCTAACCATTGGTTACCATGATCTTGGCATCCCCATCCAGGGAGTCTAACGGCACTTATATGCCCGAGTTTCCTGGTTAGGGTTTTCATACCCGAATGTCAAGTCTTATTTGATCACCCTCCGATTTACTCCACCCCCCTCCCTGCCCCCTCAAACATCATGCACCGTGACAATCTATTTGGTGACATGTGTAACACTTGTCCCAATCTACGTAATCTATAGATGACGACTATGTGCTCTAGCGAGCGAACACGGTTACCTAGATCTCTGTGCCTAACTTCAACACTGCTCGTTCGGTTACCCCACCATATTCGTGCAATGCTGCTTAGACACCGTTGTTCGAAGACTGGCATTCTATGTTTATGATCGCATGTCGCGATGACGTCACAGATGTCTCAAGTTGGCAAATGCCACCCTAGTCTTCTGTATGCGAGCTGACACTTCATCCGTGATGCATCCACCACCAGGTGAAATGTAGCTGATAAAATAACGAAACTTGCCCATTTGGTCTGTTACTTCATCAGTTAGAGTGAGGCTGGGTACTGGATCAACCCAGTCTTGTAGTAACTTGTTACACTTTAAATGTGCAAAACACATACCGAACATGGCTACACTAGCATTCAAGTTAACTAGAAGAGCTTGCAGTTTATCTGGATCTTCGTTTAGCAGTACAATGTAATCTGCATATTCCAGATCAGTCAGTTTGCTATTTGGGAGCAAATCGATGCCATTATCCTCTCGCGACTGTAGGGTTGTTTCCATAATTAAGTCGATAACAAAGTTAAATAGGAAATGAGAGAGGGCAGCTCTGACTAACGTCGCTTTCTGGGGCGTAAAAGCACCGTATGTCTGCCAATGGTGCAGCAATCCGGTTATAACCCCGTATGTTGGCTTTTTGTTTTATCATTGTGGATGTAAAACCGCCAACGGAAGGCAATGATTTGCGCTTCCTCATCACAGGCTATTTGAGACGCTTTTTGATATTGGAGCATTCCGCGTGGGGTAAGGAATAGTGACTAGTCTCAACCCGAGTCACCCACCCCAACCACACTGAGGCTTTTTGAGGTCCGTGCAGCAGACAATATAATCCCCTCGCAAAGTTTAGGAGCAATGCTGAATAAACTAATTCCTCTGTGGTTTTCACAATGAGATCTATGACCTTTCTTGTAGATCACTAAAATGACCGATTCACAGCATTCAGTTGGAAACTGTTCGTTCTTCCTTATTGAGTTTAGGTGTTTTATCAACTCCAAGGCTGACGCTAAACTTCCGTTTCTAAAAGCTGATGGTAGCAGCTCATCTAAGTCGGAGGCCTTTTGTCCTCCGAGATACCGTAATTATCAGGAGAGCTCCTTTTCCAGTGGAGGAATGGCATGCTGGGAGTAGTAGTCCAGTCGAGGTGGGTGGTGATAATTCAGATATTGATGGAGGCCAGTTGAATGAATCTGGCAATGGTACCTCATCGATCAAGACTGCGTAACTGATGACGAATCCGTGTGTCATCGAACTCATTAATTATCTCACTTACATTTCCTTCAACCGGTATTCATAATTAGACGGAATATTGCAACCATTACCAATTGTGGCAGCCTTCGCCATCTCTCTACAGATTCCTAGCCATCACTTCTTGCGGTTATTCCTCCGAATCTTGATGAGCAGACCTTTAAGGGATTTACCCGTTGTGCCATATGTGGCATCAGCAGGACTGCTTCTGCGGGAGTCCAACAAGGTATCCCAGATTGACAATATCCATCATTTTGAGCCGACGCCAGGGTGCGACGTTTTTATTGCTATTTGCATAGCTTCCTTGATTGGCTTCCAGTGGTCATTGAGTCCTTCGGGTGGTGGTCGAACTGATAGGCCATCGGAGAGCTCCGATTTGAAGACGTCGCTAAGATTGTATCACCAATGATGTGTGTTCTTCTTTCTGCATTCGATGTGAAGTCACTGGCACTATGTCCTGTGTATTGTTTTTGGTGTAACATAATCCTTCGCGGTTTATTTAAGTGATGAATCCTGATCTACAGCCCAGCCGATTCATTTCCGATAGATTGAAATGGTTACGAATGCTGAAAGGTGTATCGCTCGAGAGATAAACTGACGGTCAAATCTGTCAACCTTCACATCAGAAGCTAGATAGCACATCTCAATCGGTGTGCTGAAACCGTGCTAGGAAACATATCCTGCCGTCGGCTTTGGAACGGACTGAAGTTGCTGTATCGTCGTTCAACTTTACCTACTACAGTCTCATATGATATCAATGAGCTGAACAAATCATTTGCTTCAGTGAAAAACGTTGTACCAGCTTTACCGAGTCCAAACACAACACTTGATTTCCACCGTGTGTCTGTCACAATAGAGCAAGTTTTAAAGGAGTTGAATATTGTCAATGGAAATAAATCCGCTGGTCCTGATGGGTTATCACTAGTGATCCCTAAAACATGTGCAGACCACCTCGTACAAATCGTTTCATTATCTTAAATACATGTCTGTCATAAGGAAGACTAGTTAACACGGCGTGATGTGCGCCTGACTCCAGTACCTAAGACAGAAATGAGTAAGTTTCGGTCTATTGCCTCATCTTCAGTATTACGTAGGACTTTTGAGCGTATTAACATTAAGCACCTATCCTCTAATCTTGATTTTCGTGATTTCAATCAGTTTGCTTACTGTAAGCGTCGCTCTAGTTTAGATGCGGTTGCTTGTCTTATACCTTCTCTTTTATCCACTGTAGACCAAGAACACAAAGTTGTTCACGTTTGTTTCTGGAACTACACAAACGCGTTTAACTCTGTTGACATAAAAATCCTATTGACTCTGTTACGGCGAAATAATCTCCCGCCACATCTTTTGATTTGGATGCACGACTATTGCACCGACTGACGCCAATTCACTTGTCTCCATGGTATTAGGTCTTTTTCTGTTACTGTAAACCAGGATGTAATGCAGGGAACAATTTTATCCCCTTTTCTGTTCTTCTTTTATATCCAGAATTTGTCACTCACCCCAAATGTTTCTACTTTTAAATATACCGATGATATTGTAATTGGTGGTCCATCTCACAACAACGACAACCCTTCAATCAACCATAAGTTCCATTTCTGAATGGTCCAATGGTATTGACCTCTCTTTAAACCCCAATAAATGCATTGAAGTTTTGTTTTCCATTGCCCACAGACCAACTCTTTCTGGATCATCTGTTCCCAATATCTTGATCAATAACTTAGGAGTTGAAAGTTCAAAACACTTCGAATATCTTGGATGTTTTGTGTCCGCTGACATCAACTGGTCCTATCACGTAGAACAAACATTTCCTAAAGTCAGAAAGTTGACCTTTTATATTTCACGCATTCGGCATCTGAAGGTGCCATGGTACATCATCTCCAAATTTCTTTTCTCATGCGTTTTATGCCATTGGATCTACTGCTCTCCCGTTAACTTTGTCGGTCTACTGTGTAAGGATTTCATATTTATTAGACGCTCTCTGAAAGGCATCTTTAGATATGGAGCTGTATCATATGTGGAGCTGGTTGATTCCATTGTCAACCAACACCTGAATGCTTGTAGCCGTCTTTATGACTCCTTCTGGTCCGATGCGTCACATTCCTGACACACAGCTCTATCTAGCTCCATTTCAACTTCTGTAACCCGCAATAAATTTAAACTTTTATATACACTTACTACTGCCTTTCACAACTCCGTTGTGCCTTACCTTACACGTTTGTTGGTTTCTAGGGAGCGAATATCAAACGAACTTGAACACAGTCTAATGTAAATTTCCACGTTGATATTTTCCTAATTTTTTCCGCGTTCTCGGTGTCCGATTCATTATCATCTCAGCAACTATTCGTCATATCTTCAAGCTCATTTTGAATAGCGTGCAATGCCAAAGCAAAAGCGATAACATTGTTTTAACGGAAAATTCTGTCCACATTGAATGAATAAAGTGCACTCTTGGCTTGATTTATGTTTTTGCGGAAGGAAAGATCGCTTCATGCGAACCACTTCTACTTAGGTAAATTGGATTGATTGATTCTGATATACCATAAAGATGTTTCTGGTGAAATCGCTCCTGCCGAAACCTTATTCGGAAATGCTTAGTAATGAGAAATGGT